GGGTGAACAACTTTCTTAAAGAAAATTAATCTAAATGGTTTAAATAAGTTTGTGATGAATTATGCACATTTTGTGTTTACCAATTCAAAGAATTTTAAATTTTAGCTTTATTTATAGCTTTGTGAATAATTATTTTTAACAATATATAATTTTTTACCAAATTTTTTTTTTAATAATTTGGTATTTAGAGAAAGCAATAATTGAATATATGCTCTACATTGATATAACTATTTTTCATATGAACAATATGGACCCATAATTGAGTAAAATTGTTATTTTTATTCTTTATTTATTTGATTTATCGATTTTTAATGTTAAAAGAGCTTATGCTTCTGTAGGCTTAGATTTATGTTCAAAAGAAACATTTTGGAATGGCCCAAAAGAATAAATACAAAGGAAAAATATTCGTATTTATTGAAGAAAAAAGTTTTTATTGAAGTAGATTTAAATGGACTTGTTGGTAGAGTCATAGAAAATTTTAGAAATATTCTTGGTAATTGTGGTTTTGGATTGATTAATGAAAGAAGTAGAATCATGTTTAATTTTGTTTTAGCTTATAAATTTGTTGTTGTTATTACTTTATTTAAGAAAGGAGATGTGCATGTTATTACTAATAAGGATGGATCTAATAAAACACAAATTGATTGTTTTCTTATGAGAAAAATAGATCTTTGGGAATGTAAAGATTGTATGGTAATTTCAAATGAAAATTTAAGTGCTCAACATTGATTATTAATTTTGGGTTTTAAGACGAAGAGTTGAAAGATTAAATGGGGGCACTTAAAAGACAAATAAAAGTTTTTTTATGAGCTAAGATTTGAGATATTCGTGAAGTTAATTATTTGTGGAATAAAGTAAATAGTATTATGGAGAATCGAAAGAGAAGAGTTGATATAAATAAAATTAGTTGGTAGTGGAATAACGTGTTAAAAAAAAAATATAAGTCATTTTGTTATATAATTTTTTTTTAATATGTAAATGTTTAGGGAATTAGGAAAAATAGTCTGAGAGAATTATTTGTGATGTAAGAATTGTGTTTTTAGTGATCTTTATGATTGATTAGATGTTAAAGACAGTGAAAAATAGATGTATAAAATATCCAAACTAATAGAAAAAAAGTAAATATTTAATTCTAGTAAATTATATTAAAGATGAAAATGAAAAAAATATTTTTCTTAGATGAAGTATTCAACTTAAGTGTGTGAAATATTTTGATAAACTTTTTGATGAAGTTTTTGAAAACATCATTATTAATAATATTTTTTTACCATTTAATTTGTAAAAAAAATTTAATGAGGCTTTAAAAAATAAATCAGAAGAATCAACTGTTATCTTAATAGAAGTGAAAATATTTAGGAGATTTGAGAATATTTTGACTTACAAAAATTTATAATATTATTTTGAGAATTGGAGAAAGAGTATTTTGGTACCCATTTTTAAGAATAAAAGAGATACACAAGAGTGTGCAAATTATAGAGGAATTTAGTTAGTGTTATACAGTACATTAAAATTTTGGGAGAGAGTAATTAAACATAAGTTAAGATGTGATACAAAGATTTCTCTTAATCATTTTGGATTTATGTTAGACAAATCTACTTTGGAAGCTATATATGTATTGAGAGATTTTATGGAGAAGTAGATAAAAAATATGGAGAATTTACCTATGAGTTTTATTGATTTAGAAAACCTTAGGATAAGTTTCCAATAAAAGTTCTTTGGGGAGTTCTATAAAAGAAGGGTGTTGATATGACATATATTATATTTAAATAATTAAAGATATGTATACTAGAATTATTTCTTTGTTCAGACTGAATGAGGACTGGCCAAGTATTTTTCTATTTCAATTGGATTACATCAGGGATCTGCTTTAAGCCCTTATTTTTTTCCTTAGTTCTGGATACTCCTCCTAGACATTTACAAGAGAAGCCTAGAGAAAAAGTTCGAGAAATACTTGAATTATTGATGTCTGCTTAGAGTCTAAAGGCCTTCGTTTGAGTATTTTTAAAATTGAATACATGGAATGTAATGTTAGTAGTAGTGGTAGATCCAGTGGTAGAGTTGTACTAATGGGTGATCAAATCATCAAAAGGAGTGAATATTTTAGATATCTCAGAGTCTATATTTCAAAATGATGGTGATGGTGATGTTTAGGGGTGTAAACGAACCGAACACGAATGAACAAAGCTTGTGTTCGTGTTCAGTTCGTTTAAAATTTAGTTTGTTTGAAATAAGCTCGTGTTCGTTTCTTAACGAACGAGCCGAACACGAACCGAGCAAGAGCTGTTCGCGAACGACAAGCCAGTTTGACATCCCTAATATTAATATATAAAAATAATATTATATATTAATTATATAATATAATAAATTTTTTATATATAATTATTTTATATTATTTTATATTTCAAACAATAACGATTCGAACACGAACGAACGCATCACTGTTCGTGTTTGGTTCGTTTAACTAACCGAACGAAAAAAATTTGTTCGCTTTTGTCTCGTTTACTTATCGAACGAATCGAACACGAACTCGTTGACGAACCGAACACGAACTGTTCGCGAACGACGAGCTTTTTTGACAGCCCTAGTGATGTTGATGGGCATTTTATTAGTAGAATCCATGTTGGATGGTTGAAGTGGAGGAATGTATTAGGTCTATTGTGTGGTAGAAAAGTACTGCTTAGACTTGAAGAAAAATTTTATGAGATGGTGGTGAGACCTGCAATGTTTTATGTCACAAAATATTGGCTTATACTAGAGAAACTTAAAACTAAGTTAAGTGTTGCTGAGATGAGAATGTTTAGGTGGATGAGTGACTTTACACTCAGAGACAAAATGTGAAACACATATCCGTGAAAGGGTTGGTTTTGCTCCAGTGGCAAATACAATTAGAGAGTTGTCTTAGATGGTTTGGTCACATTAACATCTGATGATTCGGTTAGGAGAATAGGTGTTTTAGATTCAATTTATGTTAAGGTAGATGTTGACATAGAAAGACCTTGAAATTTTCTGAAAATGATCATAATTTATTAGAATTAAATGAACACTCAATAGGACAATGGAGAAAAAAGATTCGTGCAACTAGGGCTGTAAATGAACCAATGCACTCGATGAATAACTCAAGCTCGGCTTGATTAAGACTCGATTATGTTCGTTTAAATTAGTAAACAAACAAGCATGAACAATTTTTAAAAGCTCGTAGTTTAAATACATGGTCAAACTTAATCATATATGTTCAAGAACAAACTCGTTTGTTGTTCAATAAGTAATTTGTTAAATATTCGAACATATGCTCCATGATAACTCGTATCATATATGATATATTCTTTAAATAAAATTTATTTATAGATTTAATAGTAATATATTATTATATCAATAAGATTAATATAAAATTATTAAATATATGTTTATTTTTTATTAAAGTTTAGGTGGTAGATGTGAAAATACGTATTTAAGCTTGTGTGGCATGTGTTAAATGTCTCTTAAAATTAATTTTTAAGCCCCTGCAAACTTCACTTTCTCTCTTGGCTCTCTCAATTTCACGTCTCTCAATTTTGCCCGAAACATACAAAACCTCGAGTTGCTAAGGTGTGCAAGCATCGAAGGCAACGACAAGATTGCGAAGTGCCATGATCTCTGAAACTCTAGTATCTAATATACCCCTCCTTTCCACTCTTCTCATTAGTCCTACCCGATTAAAAAGTGTAGTTGAGAAATTACATTGCAATCATTGTAAGTTATATATCATTAAATACTATTTCTATTTATTTATGATTTCTGCTGCATTTGCATTGCTGTAATTTCCAATTATCTAAATCTAATCTCAATATATGTATATGCGGACATCGGTAATAGCTTGAAGATTTGTAAAGTTTAATTTGTTTAGCATCTCATTTATGACAGTTCTATATTCTATGAATTCATGTATTTGTGGATTATGTTCTATTCTTTTCTAGATATTATATATTGTACTTCATTAATTTTTCTTAAACTGTTGTAGGATGTTTGATGATTTAATTTCTTAGTTTGTTTGTTCTTACGGTAAAATCAAGTCACCATACTGGCAGTTGTTTTGTTCTGAGATATCTCATTATTAAACTTTTCTCATGTTTTGATTTGGTTGTAGATAATGATACTTTTGAGGTGCTTTTACTATTCCTTGAAATTCTTTTTGCCAAATTGACCTGTGAAAGCAATGTTGACTACAAAATTTGTTTCAACACGTATAATATTGATTTACATACATACTGCTCAATTCTTATTTATTTACACATCTAACGCCTAAAATTCAATTTTTACATATGTACCATACCACCCTATCCATGCATGAAAAGATGTATCCCACTTTTAAAAGTTAAAATGGGGGTATTTTTTATGTTATATGAAAAATTTGGGTGGTAGAATGTAAATAAGCAAAGTTTAGGTGTCAGATATGTCAACACATAGGGGAATTGGGTGGTATGTTTGTAAATTCTTCTTCTTTAAATTACTATTTTTTAGCAAAGATGGCAGTTCTCTCTCTTTGAATATTATTATGTTATTCATATTTGATATAATTGTTTAATTAGTCACTTGATTTTATAAATTTAATTATCATTGCGATGTTGTTTATTGATTTATCAAATAAAGCGCCATGAAAAGTGTTCTTTGTTTTTGTCTTGGCTGAATTTTGTTCTCCATTTATTCTAATATAATAATTCGTGGACGCAAAGGAGTAAGAGAAGAAGGTAAGTATTTTAATTTTGCTTAATCTTTCTTAATCAGTTGATTTTGTACTGTTTGTCATTCTGTTTTCTTACATTGATTTCATGCATACTCGCAAAAATTAGTACACGTCCGACGTCAATTATTTTGCTCTGCTTGCCTTTCATAGTCCTTTTCTTATATATCTCTATTATATTTAAGCTTGCCTATAATAATAAGATATCTCGTTGAGCTTGAAGAATCCTCAATCTATACTTTACTGATGAACATAATTTTTTTTCTCTTGCAATGTTGAGCAGGTCAAGCTACTAACTAAGAACGTACAATATATTCTCGATACATTACGTTCCTCTAGTGTTGTGGAAGTTCAGGTATGTTTTGGAAAAGGAAATAAGGATCACACTTTAGCAATTAAATGTTTAATATCACGTTGAAAAAGCACTGCTACCACTTCTTAGAAGGGCCACATTTTTTAGTGGTCTGTTTATAAATCTACTATGTTTTATTTTCTAGCAAAACAATGATAAAATATTTTGTGTAGGGTGAGAAAATAAGAAGACGGAATGATTGGTCGACATGGGTGATTAATAAAGGCAATGAGTCGGGTTCTTCTGGTTCACATTCTCCCACACCAGCCACCAATTATGATGCCTTGTCAACACAGTTTCATAACGTTGGATTGGAGGAGAATTCTTCTAACACACCAGTATGAGAGGTTCAGCTGAGACTGTTCTTGCCGAATCAACGTCTGGGGATTTTAATGGGCAGCACTAGAGGTGCATTAATTTTTTTTTTTGGCGGATCTGGAGTTTTTATTTTTTGTTTTTTTTGTTTTTTTTGGCAGCAAGTGCTATAACGGAGATGGGGGTATATTTTTTATCAGTTTATTATAAGAAAAAAAAAAGAAGTTTTTGCTAAATTTTCAACTGTTTTGAAAAAAAAAAAAACCCAAAAAGAAAACTGGTTTTGAATTTGTACAGATTTGTTTCAGCAGACGGTTATATATGCTGGTAGCTACGAATTTATGGAGCTCTATATTCATTAGAATTAGGAAGAATTTTGGGGTGTTTAAACTGGGTGGAAGTTTGTTGAAATTTTTGTTTGAGTTGAGGATGTTCATGGAATGTAACCCTTCTTTTTTCTATTTTTATTCTTAGTTTTTTGCGCGTGTAGTACCGCTTTTTTCCTGCGGTGCAAATTTATAGGTGACGGATGTGGGAAAAAATATTATATTAGTACTATGCACTTAGAGTAACGTGTGCAGTCAATAAAATCACGCCACGACACTCCGTTCGATAGAGAAAAAACGACGCAGTAACACGGAACATCCCTCCACGTGTTATTCATGTGCTATTGTGTCCTGAGATTATTCTTGGGGTTATAATAACATATTAACACATGAATAACACGAGGCAGAATATTCTTCTGTGTTATTGTGCCGTTTTTTTCTCTGTTGGGAATATTCTCCGTGTTATTCAGGTGTTATTGTGTTATTCATGTGTTATTTTATTGTGTCCTGGTTATTGTGTCCTGAGAATATTATTGGTGTTATAATAACACTAATACATGAATGATGCGGGGGTGAATAATTCTCGTGTTGATGCGATGTTTTTTTTTTTTTCTGTCGTGGGGTGTCGTGGCGTGATTTCATTTGCTACGCACGTTACTTATACGTGCGTAGTATTGATGTAATATTTTTTCGGTATGCGGATTGAGGATTGTAATGCCATAAAGATCGCTAATTTTGGCATCTTTTATTTTAGTATTATGTTTAGCATTTTTTAATCATGTTGTGTGTTTTTTTTAATAATATTAATTAGAAGATATTTGGTTTTCGAGTTTAGAAAACTAAATATAGTGAAGTTCTCATACAACGTAATAACTACTTTAAAATGAAAGCGTGTAAGTTATTCTTAAATTGCATTATTTTCATTTCCATACAAACACCGTAATGGTCATGAAAAAGAAAGGAGAGTAGGGGCCAAAGTGAGAAAGTGCGTCCGTCAGAGCACCTTCAGATAGCTTAAGTTTCTCTTACAAAACTCATGTGCCCTGTCCAATGTCCAGTGATGTGGAAGCTGGTTTCTCCCAAAAAAGGAGTACGGCCTTTAGCGCAATAGTTTTGTACTTTATTTGCTAGTATTATGGCATCTACTAGTGAAAATATTTTATATTAAAATTACTGAAGAATATAAATACATCAAATATTTTCAATATAATGTAATTATTCTACATGATTCAGGAGGATTCTCTTACAGCCATAATTGGACTAAAATTAAATGTTCCCACCAAAGTTTTAAGAATGCAATTTGATATATTATGCTTCATATTAATAGTTTTATATTTATTCTAATTAAATTTTTTTAAAATTATTCTTTCATATATATATATATACCATAACTTTTGGTACGAGTGCAGGATCATTAGGACTCTCAATTAATTTTAAATTTAATGTATTTTGAAACACCTTTGCATAATTCTGCACTTGGAATAATTTCAGATTATCAACGTTAAATTTTAATAATTAGGGTACATTGACTTTAAAATAATTTGAAATTAAATTCATAAATGTATATACTATTTTATTTGTATTTATTCATCAATTTTAATTAACAAAATATATTGATAGGAATAAAATTTGAAAGATTTACATATATATAACTCATGAATTTCTATGTATTTACATTTTATAACATTTAAACTTTAAATTTTACATATATGCCACCCCATCTATGCATAAAAATGTGTGTTCCACTTTTTAAAAATTAAAATAGTGATTGTTTGTATGTTAGAGCGATTTGGGTGGTTTAAATGTACAAGATAAAATTTAGGTTTATAAGATATATTAAAAGATAGGAATTGGGTGCTATATATGTAAAGGACTCTTAAACTTTTAAATGAGTTCGTGAAGTGAGTTTTTATCATAATTTTAAAATCTAATTGACTTAATTTTATTTCAATTTAAAAATTTCTTAAGAGAACGTTTTAATTTTGATAGTCTTACTTGAAATATTAGAAGTTTCATATGTAATGTGGGATTTATTTGAGATGGAAAAAATATTGCATCAGGACTACGTACGTAGAGATACGCGTAGAGTCCAATGAAATCACACCACGTGGAGGTGACAGAAAAAAAAAACAACCCGGTAACACAGGAGAATATTCTCCACGTGTTATTTCATGTTATTCAAGTGTTATTGTATGTTATTTAGGTGTTATTATGTTCTGAGAATATTCTATGTATTATAATAACACAATAACACATCAATAACAATTGAATAATACACAATAACAGCTGAATAATACACAATAACACATGAATAACACAGGAGGAATATTCTCTTGTGTTACCGGACAGATTTTATTTTTTTTATGTCACCACTAGGTGGCTTGATTTCATTGGACTTCGCACGTCACTTTACGTGCGGAGTCCTGATGTAACATTCTCTTTGAGATGAACGTAATTTTTTAAAATTTTAAAAAGATAATGGAAATTATAGTTGAAACTAAAGTATAAAAAAAAAAGTATCATCATATGTTATTATTATTTTTTTACCCTAAAATAAAAATAAAATATTTAAAATAAATTAAAATTACGATTTTAATCAAAGTTATAATACACTTTTATTTTTTTTCTAATCAAATGCCACGAATTATATAAATTATTATTGAAATATAAAATATTTCAAAAGCAGAATCATTAAATTCTCTCCAAACTTGCTTTGAATGCGGCATAAAATTAGTACAATTTATGCCATTTTAATTCTTAAAAGAAAATACGTTGCCGTTTTTCATCACATCACATGAATGACAACAAGAATGCATTTACCATATTGATTAGACATATATAATAAGACTTTTAGGGGACATTTACATTCACACCCCACAATTTTTACATATTTGTAATTGTAATGCCTAATGTTTTTATATTTATATTCATGCAATTTTCATGTTACATATTCATAGATAAATAATTAGTATATATATATATATATGTGTAAATATTTAAGTCTTGAGTATTGGATATATAAATATATAAGAAATGTAGGGTGTGCATGTAAATAGCCTCTTTCATTAACGCTAGTACAAAGAGAGAGAGAGATGAGTCAACTCGAGTGATTCCTTTAAAGTGTACAATTTGAGTGAGTCCAGCATAGAAAACCATCACCCGGAAAGGAGAAACACGCCATTTAAGTGCCCCATCTCCATCAATCATCACTTTACCTATCTATTTATATACATCAATATATTGCACCCCATATCTTCTTCTTTTTTAATTTACTTTGTTCAAGATATTTTTTTTATTTAGCTTAATTTATTTTTTTATAAAATATTTTTAAAAGAGTAATTATTGTAACCCAAAACCATATTTATGTTTTTTTTTTTTAATTTGAATGGAATTTCAAAGATATATATATATATATATAAGGCATATTTTTATTTCAAATGTTAGAGATTAAAATAGAGAGGGTATGAAGTAATCAATCCGAACAGATAAATTTATTAATATTAATTACAGTCAAGAAGCACCTCCAAAAGACACACTTGAGAGAGAAAAGATGCTTTGTGTCATAATTGGGCTTGAAGGACACGAGGATTAGACTATAGTTTTAAAATTATCATCATAATACTATGATCTATACTTCAAAATTGGTTAACTCATAAGAAAGAGAGTGAATCATGACATGACATTCAAGAGAGACGGTTATATTTCTTTGTCATGATACTATGTGACCATAGTTAAAAGTCACCAAAGGATAATTTGAATGAAAGGGCTCGAAAGATAATAGGGTATTAATAAGGAATACAAGAACATGTAGAAAAAAATTAGGATTTCATTGATGATTGTAAATTTTTAACCGTAGAGAAAGGTGCAAAAGGTGGAGTATCATTGATGTGGGGCTTGTTTAAGTCTGTAGATAGCTTTATGTAATTTGCACACATGATTTGGGTAATTAGTGTAGGTGAAGCCCAGTGGTTGTGTTATGTAGACAATATCATCTAGTTCGCCGTAAAGAAAAGCGTTTGAAACATCTAGCTATTGGATATCCCATTGTCTGTAGGTAGCTAGGGCAATAAAGAGCCTTATGGTGGGAAATTTAGCCACAGGGCTAAGAGTTTTTTGAAAATCAACTCCATGTTGTTTAAAGCCTTGAGCTATTGACTGAATTCAATAGCCCACTTTAAGAGTCGACTGGAATGTCCCAGCCGAGTGAGCACAAATTTAAGAGGATGGTCGGTGATGACATTAATCCGGTGTGTTTGGAAATACAATCGGAGCCTACGAGCAAAGACAATTAATGCAAAAGTTAGTTTTTCTATAAGAAGATATCTAAACTTAGCACCTTTGAGCACTCACTTGTGTAGTAGATTGAATTTTTTTTTTTCCAAGCTTGTATCAAACTAAGATTGAAGTGATGGTTTCCAAACCAACTCCCAAATACAATGAGAGTTCTTCCTTCAGCTTCTAAGTTTGTAACAGAGGCAGTGAGGCCAGTGATTGCGTAAGTTTGGGAATGCTTTCTTATAATTTGTTGACCTTTGAAATCTTTTATCTTAGTGTTTTGAAGGAAGCTGCGCATTTGCGCCCAACTTTGAATTGAACTAGTTGTGTGTTGTTATTCAGTCGGCCAGCTTTTGCACTTCCATCATATTTCAAGGAGAAGGTATATTTAAGAGAGTCTGTACCTTCCACGGGTTGGTTTTTATTTCTTCGAGCATCATGAGATATCCCATGAATTTTTCAATCGACACATCGCCCACCTACAACGCAATCTTCAGACGACCATTGCTTAATCACTTCAGAGCAGTGGTATCCACCTATCACGTGACGATCAAGTTTTTGTGCAACGAGGAATTAGTCATTTCGAGGCAGTTTAGAGTAGTCTCAGACTTGCTAACTTTAGGCAGTCAAATAGTGTGAAGCAAGAGACGTTGGACATACAACTCCAACGAGAGGGGGGTCTCAAAATAGATGTAACTACAATTGAGATCCTTGCTATCCTTGGTGACTCGGGTAAATTTTTTTTTTCTAATTACTGAGAATTTTGATGCAGGGCACAAAGATTTGTTGATTAGGACTCTCTGGGAACATTGGGATGTCTTCTTCTGGTCAACCGTTGAGATGTCAGACATCTCGATAGAAGTAGCATACAACTGACTCAACGTCAACTCAGTCTTCTAGCCAATAGAGTAGCGGATTAGAACGTTGGCAATGACTTTGGTTGGACTAATCCGGGAGGAGGTACAAAAGCTCAAAGAGGCGGGCTGCATCTTGAAGGTTCAATACCCATTCTAGATTTTCAACGTGGTCACGGTGCAAAAGTTGAACGACAAATAGAGAATGCGCGTGAACTTCACAATAATGAACTCGGCTTGCCCTAACGACAATCATTCCATGTTGAGGATCGACAGTCTAGTGGAGTCCACAGTCGGACATTTAGTAATGAGATTTATGGATGCTTTCTCTAGCTGTCATCAAATCAAGATACAGTCGGTCGACACGGAAAAGACTGCATTTATTATAAGTGAGTGCGTATATTATTACATTGTAATGTTCTTTGGGCTAAAAATGATGGAGCTGTCTATATTTGCTAAACGATAGCGAAAAAATATTGAAGTATATGTCGATGATTCATTAGCTAAAACTAAGTTGATCGAACAACATATAAACAATCTAAAATAAACATTCCAAATACTCACAAAATATAATATGAAATCAAATCCGTTGAAATGTATTATGTACACACAAATACAATCATAAATCCACACAAAGTTTCTACATGAGTACTTTTGACTTATGCTCATCTGTCAAAGTAGTCGAACTAAGCTCACTTGTCAAAACGGTCGAGGTAAACCAACTACTGAAGCAAACCATCATTACATTAAACTACATACATCCATCCATAATTATGGTGCCACCTGACACTCTCATCGCACTCTTTTCATCAAGACATCGTGCACATACATAGTACTATATGAGATGTAATCTTATAATTCTTTGTCTTTACTTATGTATAGGAAGGATGATGAATCGAGAGGGGGTTGGACTCCTCCTCTGACTCGAACCAAAAGACCCTTCCTCCAAAAACTATTTTAAAGTTAAGAAAATAAATTATTTGAATTTAATTAGAAATATGAAGCCGCACTTAGAAGAAGAAAAAAAAAAATCCACAGATCAGAGGAGTTTTCAAACCACCCACATTGAATAAAGTATTTTACATATTTAAAAGAATATAAAAAGATTTACGAACATACCATCAATTATTATGTATTTACACATTTAACATCTATTTATACATGGAAATATATATTTCACTTCTTAAAAGTTAATATAATGATACTTTTATGTGATATGAAAGATTTGGGTGCTATAAATGTAAAAGATCAAATTAAGATGTCAGATATGTAGATACATAAGAAATGAGTGGTATGGATGCAAAGCCCCAAAAATATGAAGAATTTTAGCACCATCATAATATTACTCTAAATAAAGTTAGTCCTTATTAGATAAAATGTGGATGATTTTAACAAGGGGTGAACCCACACACCATTTATAACATCATAAACTTTTGCATTTATAGAAAAAACCCACATAACTTTTATTTTACGTAATAGTAAAAAAAAAAAAAGATTTACATACATATCAATTAGGGCCCGTTTGGGGCAATTTATAAGTGCAGACGGCGTTTTGAGAACGCAGCTGTACTGTTTGGTTCGAGCGTTTCGTCAGCTTATCTGAAATTGCGTTTGGGTTTTTACACTAAACGCAGACCGCGGGTCGACCTCCGAGGTCGGCCCGGGAGCCGCGTTTCAGGAGGAGCCGCGTTTCAGGATAAGCAGCTTATCCTGAAACGCACAAGTTTAATGTGAAAAACGACGGTAATAAAGCAAAAAAATTAGAACGAGTAAAATTGCACGCAGAAAAAACACCAGAGCGACACACAGATTTATGTGATTCGGCAAATTTGCATGCGTCCACGGAGCTGCAGGGGATTTATTTCTTCGAGGAATTACACCGTCGAGAGTCTTGACGTTTACAAGAAAATCTCTATTTCTTTCTCTTCATTTCTCTCTCTCTCTCTTCCTCTCTTTCTCTTAGCTCTCAAGATGACTTGACTTGGTCTTACTTGGCTTTGCTTGGCTTGCATTTGGCTTGCATTTCCTGGCTTGCATTTCCTTTAAACCAAAAGAGACTATTTATAGAAATCATGAGAGCGGTAGGTGGGAGATACGTGAGCGATAGGTGGGATGTCGTAGGTGTGCCGTAGGTGGGTGTGATAGGTGAGCGGTATGTGAGATACTTAATTAAGAAATTAATTAAATTCGGTAGACCGGATCTCCACAGTGCCCAATAAAACTGCCCCAAACGCACCCTTAATTCCTAAGCTTTTATATATTAACAAATAAATTTAACTTTCAGAATATTAGAGATATAAATACATAAACGTTGGGTGATATGCACGTAAATGCTCCTGAAGATAAAACAAGAATGAACTTAACCGCAAATTACACCACTATAAATTACTGTGTTTTACATAAGCTTTTTTTTAATTATTATATTATATCCATTTTTTAATTATTACAATACATCTTAATTTTTTTGAAGGGAAATTCCCAAATTCTTTGCATTTGCAGATCCCACCCACACCAAAATTTTCATTTTTACAAATCAGGAAAAAATCTTAATAAAATTAATACAAACCTCCTCTGCCTGATTAAACAACACATCAGTCCTCTGTCTCTGTCTATCTCTCCCTCCACCACCTTCTACTTCTCACTCCCCCACTCCAATTTTCAGCCATGCTGTCATCTAACGCCGGCGAAATCCCCTCTCCGTCCTCCTCCTCCTCCGCCGCCCTCACGCACACCACTCCAAAAACAATGGAGGAAGTATGGAAAGACATCAACCTCTCCACCCTCGTACAGGACAGCCGTCCTGCAACTCCCTCCCTCTCCTTAGAAGCTCCCCTCTCCCACAAAAGCACCACCTCCTATCGCGGCATGATCCTGCAGGACTTTCTCGCCGGCGCCTTCAAAGATCCTCCCGCCTCCTCTGCTTCCGGCCAACTTCCCCACCTTCCCTTGCCGCCCATCGTCCTTAGCCTCAATACCTCTGCTTTTCTTCAACCCGGGTTCGACTACTCCGGTTTTCAGCCCGGCCCGCCAGCCTCCGCTGCCGCCGCCTGCGGCTCCGATGACATTATGGTGTCTCATTATCCCTCGAAGAAGCGTATTGTTGATGATCCCTCTTGCATTTCAGGTGATGGACGGCGGCATAAGCGGATGATAAAGAACAGGGAATCGGCGGCCCGGTCCAGAGCCCGAAAACAGGCCCGTATACTCCTCCCACAACTCCCCATCTATTTCTCTCACATCAAAATTCTTATTTTTACAAAATCAAAACCCTACACTGTGGGGGAGTGCGGAAATAGATAAACTAGATGTATGGTCTTTAAAAACGAGAGTTTTGGGTGGGAGATAGGTAACATCATATGTTGTGGGCAAATTCCCCCGTTGGGGTATTATTGCAACTTTGTAAATCTGTTTATTTTAATGCATGAGTGACAATTATTAATTATTTGTTACAATCCTAATCCCGCTTAACAAATATAAGAAATTACCATGGATAAATGAAGGGGAAAAGCTCTGTCATTGTCATTCTATTTTAGATATGATTTTTGCATTTCTTTTTACATTAATTATGTTGGGTGGTGATTGCACTAGTTCCCCTCCTCATTCCATCTTTCGGATACTAGAAGGTATCTCCCCATCTCTCTTGAAGTTCGCGCACCAGACATTAAGTTGAAAAAAAGAATGAAGAAATACTGTTACCCGAACCTCAAAAAAGAGAATCTTAGGTGTCGACGCAGGGGAAGATTTAGGGTTTAGTAATCTTTAAAAAAAAAAACTTTTTTATATTAGTTTCATACTTATTATGTAACTGCAGACTGCAGGCTGCTTTTTTTCAGAAAAAAGAAAGAAGAAAAGAACATATTTTTTGCTTTTGAAATAGATTTTCCTAACATAAATCCCCTCGAATCTCACCCTGCACTCTCTGCTAACAAATCGAAGCAAATCAAAACAGGCATACACGAACGAGCTGGAGCTGCAAATCGCCCACCTGACGCAGGAGAACGCGAAGCTGAAGAAACAGAACGAAGAGGTATTTAATACATTATTACAAATTTAGGAAAAAAAAGGTGTCATTTTCCATTTCTCTGCAACAAAGTTTTACATAATTGTTCTTTCTGATTTTGGATACCAACAGCTTCGCGAGGCAATGGCTGCTGAGCATCCCAACAGAAAGGTTCTTCAGAGAACCTCAACCGCTCCATTTTAAGGAAAAAAAAGAAGCTCCGAAATAGTTGGAACTTCTTACTCTTTTTGACATTTCAGAATATATCTATATCTATCTATATATATATATATATACTTCTGTTTGTGCAGAAATGGAATAACTTCTCTCATTTTCAATGTTAGTTTTTAGAGAGAGAGAGAGAGCGGAGAAGGGGAAAGTCGGGAGGTGATTGTAAGTTGTTGGAAAAAGCTTAATCTTTTTGAACGGGCCGTCGGGTCAGGTGCAGGTGCGGGTGCAGATGCGGGTGCGGGTGCGGGTGCGGGTGCGGGTGATTTGCGTGGTGGTGGGTGAGGACGTAGGTGCGACGGAATAGGTGGGCACAGATTTAGTATGGCTTTTGATTATCAAGCAGGGGAGGATGGGACCCGCTGAAGTAATGTTGCGACTTCCCACGTCAGGTGGGCACGTGTAATTTTTTAATTAGTTTTTTAAATATTTGATTTAAAAAAAAAGGAAGATTTACTGGTATATCACTCAATTATTATGTATTTAATATTTAAATATCTAACACCTAAATTTTTTTTTTTAACTTCTACGTACATGTCACTTTATTTATATATGAAAAGTGTTACTTTTAAAGTTATAATTAAGATAATATAAAAAAATTAGGTGTTATAAAGATAAAAAATAAATTTTAGGTATCAATTATATAAATACATAGGACTTGGGCGGCATGTATGTAGGCTGTAAACGTTGTGATTTTGACCCAAGTTGGAGTTGGCTCGAATGGGATTGAGAGATTTCAAACGGATTGTTGTTCGATATATTCAATTTCGGGTTGAGTTGGTTTGAAAATAATCTAACTTGATGCGAAATTAGAATAAGCTTGCTCAAATTAGCTCTTTTGCATTTGTTAAAGTTCAAAAATCAAAATCAATTGATTGTGCTTATATATATATCGAGTAGATCTCTAGTTAGTTCAAGTTAATTTGATAACGGCTCAAAATAAAGTTCAATTCATTGATTTTGGCTCAAATCTTATTTCAATTTGGATCAAAATTTGAATTCATTTTTGAGTGATCAATGATTTTTTAGCTAATTTTTAAACTCTACTGTGCATTAATGAAAAAAATATTACGACGCATTGCAATTGGACAACGACTGTGATCTACCACAAGGAGCGGGCGAGAAAAAATGACTTGTAGATCCCTGTCGTTGTTCGGATGCAGTCCAGACTGTGGCCTTAACATTTTTTTATGTTAAAGTCCCGATTTTAGGCATTAACTTTTAATTTGTTAATTATATTTTCAAGTTTAAAATTGTTTTTTACTCATTGTGTTATAACGTATAATTAAGGAGTTTTAATTATTTAAAAAGCCTAACAAAATGAGTTGTATATGTATTTATATGTTTATGCTGATCATCGATTCTAATATTAAAATTCATTCTAAAAATTATAAAATAATGGACTACTTGTTTCAAATTAATATAAATTTTAAAGTTGAATAAATAATTTTACACAAATTGAATTTTACAATAAAATATAAACATGACTTATATTGACTTATTAATTTATAAGTTAATAAAAGTCAATATAAGTCGTGTTTATATGTCAAGTATAAGTCAAATATAAGTCATGTTTAAATATCATTTATATTGACTTATATTGACTTATAAACGATTGACTTATATTGACTTATAAGTCATATTTAAATATCATTTAAATCTTTAAAATCATATCAAAAATATTATTATTACTAACTGTTAAAAAGAAAAATACACATTTTCATGCATAAATATATAACACTAAAATATTATAATTATAAATAGCAAATTTAAGAAATTAGATATGTAAATACATAAGAATGGAATGATTTGTATATAAATTTTACTTATTAAAAACATAGCCTCATTTACGTACATGCCACTTAATTTTTATGTATTTAGATATCTAGCAATTAAACTTTGCTTTTTTATATTTATACCACTCAAAAATATTATTTTTTCCCTTTAAAAGTGAATTACATATTCTCATGCATAGAAAAGTTGGTGTGTGTGTGTGTGTGTGTGTGTGTGTGTGTGTGTGTGTGTGTGTGTGTGTGTGTGTGTGTGTGTGTAGCATAGACAAGTTGGTGAGTGTGTGTGTGTGTGTGTGTGTGTAGCATAGAAAAGTTGGTGTGTGTGTGTGTGTGTGTGTGTGTGTGTGTGTGTGTGTGTGTGTGTGTGTGTGTGTGTGTGTGTGTGTGTGTGTGTGTGTGTGTGTGTGTGTGTGTATTTAATTAGGTGCTAGATACATAAATGCAAAGGATTCGAGTTGTAGTTATATCAGTTGCATGAATGTAATTATTCCAAAAATGTAATTAAAATATACCCTACTCGGTGCTTCCCAATTATTTAGCTTGCTGCAGCTTTTAAGAAGTAAGCTACTGTGCTGTTGCTCGGCAGTGGCACAGTGCGCTACGCAACCTACCTCAGTACATCCTCACTGTTTATAGCTGCAAAAGGGTGCTATTACTAATATTGACTTGCATTTATGTGAATAACCGAGGACTTAATTGAAAGAAGGCATGCAGAGACAGCATTGCCAGAGGGATTGTTGCTCGCTCAGTTTAATTTGCAAAAAGAAGAGGAGGAGAGCATTGTAAATTAGAGACATTGTGATCGAAAGTTGTATTTTATAACTTGACTTTGATTCTGTGCAGTGGCTGCCAGAAAGTTATGATAAGAAAAATAAATTATAATAATCACTGCAGCTTCTTGAACATTTGCTTCATCTATAATAGCTTCTGTCCAAAATACACCAAAAAGGGTGGGATATATTGATTATAAAGAAAGTGAAAGATTGACATTGATTTTTTTTTAATGCTTTCATGTGCTCTTTTTTTGTTTGATATTGATTTAGGTTTGACATTTTCTTAAGCAAAAGAGGTAAGTCTAAAAAAAAAAATAATAATAATCCATTGAAGAAGGTAAACATAGGAAATAGTTGATTAAGTTTTGATTGACTTCATAATAGCTTCTTATAGGGGTGTAAACGGTCGAACACGAGCAAGCCATGCTCAGCTCGTGTTCGGCTCATTTATATTTCGAGGTCAAAAAGTGTGTTTGTGTGCGGCTCATTTGCTTAACGAACCGAACACGAGCTGTTCACGAAAAAAAAGTCCTTTTGACAACTCTAAACACGTAGCCACTAGGGGTTTGAGCAAGATTTAAAAGTTATTATTTATATTAAAACATCATTTGAATCTAATTTAATAATTTTTATTCTATTTTCTTAATTAATATTTTAATTGATTATAAATCTTTGTAGCCTTGTAGTCAATTAGATTTGTTTAAAACACTACTTATATATATATAAACTTGATGAGTTGTATTTCGAGCCAAAACGAGCCAAACATGAACGAACACATCTTTGTTTGTGTTCGGTTCGTTAACTTATCGAACAAAATTAACGATCCGAACACGAGCTGTTTGCGAATCTTCTTAACGAGTCGAACATGAGCTGTTCTCGAACAACGAGCCGTTTTGACAGCCCTAGCTTTTTAAATACGAATTAGAATTTATTTTACTATTGAAATCATCCACAAAAATTATTACATTATAAACTATTTGTTTTGATTTAATTTATGTGCATGGCGTTTAAAAGGTGTATTGTGGAATCACAAATCTTTCTCTTGAAATCAAATATATCAATTAAACAATGGATGTAATTGATGGTCATGGATTTTTAAATGAGTTGAACAGAAATAAAAATGTTGAACTCATATCCAATGTTAGCTCAATTATATTAGGCACAGTGCCCGTTTATTTTGGGCTTGCTTACAGTCTCTTTAAAAATTTCATTTTTACAACTAAAATGTATAATTAAAATTGACTTGTATGTTTTTTTTTAAATAATTGAAGTACCATTTTATTTAATTCTATTAGTCGAGTAATTTAAGGGGCATTTACATGCATACCCCACAATTCTTATGTATTCACTATTGGCATAAATTTTCGATATCATATGAGCGGGATGTTCGTCTTTGAATACTGAACTATGCTTAGTTTCATGTCATTCAAGACATACTATTGGACCTCCTGGTATGTGATCCGAGTAAAAAATCAGGACCGGTGCCGACTTGACCCTACTCGGGAAAATTCACCGTGAGGCGGTGTTAACCCTAACTCTGCACGTGTTTTATGTACGTTCTGATGTTGAGAGACCCAACTCCATCAATCCGGAGTCTTCCGAGGCTAAGAGCAGTCTACAAGATCTCCTACGCGTATTTTTTAAAATTTTGGGTTTGGACTAATTTTATCCCCGCAAGAGTCTGGGATGCCCTTCGGCACCAAAAACCATGCTTTGAAACCTCAAAATGTTAAATTTTGAGTTATGTGGTTGTATTCTAGATATACACAAATTTCCCTAGCTTTCGGATTGACGAGAAACTTTCTACGATCATTCAGGCAAAAATTAGGGTTCGGAACACTATACCCATGTTTGGTCAAGGATCACCATTAGCGACGATTTCCTCACCGAATGACCGATCAAAATACTCATTTTTTAAAGTTACAAGATCATATTTCAGTCATACTTAAGCCCTCATAGCTTGTGGATCAAAGAAACCCTCTGTAAGACGATCCACATAAAAATTATGGTTTTCGAGCTAGACCTGCGCCTAGCTCTAGTCCCGGGCTCCTAGGCATCAAAAATTACTTTCTGGAGCATTTTACCTAACTTTGGGAAAGTATGCCACCCTACTGGCACCTAGGGGCCAGAATGGGCGCCTAAGCGCCAGTCCTGAGTGCCTAGGCGTTCAAAATGCCTTGAAAATTATGTTTTCCGAACACCCGAGAAGTAGGAGTCAGACTAGGTGCCAGGGTCACAGCGCCAAGGTGCCTGTCTAATTTCTAGACGTAAAAATTCTGATTTTTTGAGCCGTGTTGACCTTGCCACTTCTCCCCATGCATCCAAAATTTGAGATCTTCTTGTATAATGGAAAGCTTACATAGGTGAATCAAAAAGGGGGCTAGTGATGGCTCTTTTAACTCTCTTTTGG